TATCTCAGTCAAAGACTGGACAACAACTTCAAGCAAGTGTTGATAGTCCTAAGACACCTGAAATGGTCTCCAAACCAGCTACACAATCTTCAGTTGTACAGAATACTAACAATTCAAAACCAAGAAGAGTTCAGCTAATATCACAGCCACCTGAAAGACAAGTTGRAAGTGTAAGCCCTCAAACACAGCCAAGTGCACAGTCTATTAATGAGCAKAATYCTASCAACCAAKAGCCCAAAAAGMTAYWAGAAGMAYCACAGACAACATCAAAAGAGAACTGTAGTCCTGRACCACAAATCYAGGAAGACAAATCGKAAGTTAATCAAGGAGCAAAGGCTGAGTCAATAGGYGAAAGTCATAGACCTAGAAATCCTATTCCATTGGAACCAGTCGTGATTGTTTTAGAATAATTTATGGACTGCTAAGATATTGTGGTGGGCATCTGTAATATTGTAATGGAATACATGACTTGCAAATAAGTCTCTATTTGTGAAACATTGATATGAGGCATCACCCGTCACGACTATATCCAAAAAAAACAATTTCAGTTTGAAAGACTGCTTTTCCTATATATTCTTTGAATCAAGACAATGGTTGCGTTTTGAGTGATAGTTACCAATTCTTTATCAACTTGAAAGGTTGCTTTTGCACCAAACACTGGTATTTGTTTGAAAATTTAGATGCACAATGACATCATGAATTTTGTCTGGTCTGGTTCCATACCAATGCAAACGATGCTATATTGCACATGCATCTCAACTTCCTTTGAAGACACAGAGCTGCAAGTCCGCCCTGGAAATTTGTTAAATTGCAAATATGATAATTAGCATAAATTATGGTTTGTTATTTGGGCTTTCTGTGGTGATCTTGTGACTGGAAAAGTCTTGGCCATTACAAAGTTTCTCTGATTGAAAGATTTTCCAGGAGATTTGGATCTTTCTGTGGGAGACCAGGAAATGATGCCGAAAATCTGAAGACTCTAGGATTTAAATCATTGAGAGTTGGAAGCTATGAAAATCAGGCACTGAGAATATTATTACAAAGGAAAAAATAAAGCAAAAAATTAGTTAATTTGGAGTTTAAAATCCTTAATTCAAGAACTGAAAATCTTCTGTAAGTACTGTGGTGTATAGCTGTGAACAATCATGTATTAAATCAATTATTAATGTAATAAAAAAGTTCACTTTGAAGTATGATCTGAAATATTTCTTCCACCAAAAGAAAACATTCTATGAATTTGTAAAAAAAAGAGTTATGTTTAAAAAAATGATATGAATTTTGTCTCGTTTTACAGGTGTAATTAAGAAAATGTGTTATTTTGTCTACCAATTTTTTTCTATTTTTTGAGATCCTTCTGTTATGTAATGTTTATTAACATTCTTGTAGTAATTATGTGTTTATTTTCTCTATTATAATATCATTAGAAATGATATTTTATACGTTTCAAAACGTTTTCTCAAAAAAACTTGCATTTTATGGGGTTCCTGTGTAGTTTTGTTTTGCCACGTGACACGCGTTGCTAACATGTTCAATCAAAACATCCCGTGCGTCGCTACCGCGAGAAGCAAGCGAACAACA